AAGTAGGAATGAGTACACATCTTCCAACCTCAACACCCTCTTCCATCACAGTTCGGGGATGGCATCTGGCTGGATGCTGGGATCAGCCGTGGAATTGTTGTCAGCGAATGTGCTCTCCGGAATTCAACCTTCGATCTAAAGCCTTATTGGTGGAAGTCTGTGCTATTCAGTTTTGGAACCGTGAAAACGCGGTCACCAGTGATTGCATTGGGGAAGGCCGCAGCCAATTTCACGTAAGTAGTTCATTCAGGATTTTGGTTTTTGAAAAAAAAACCTGGAAATTGAGTGGATTCACCTTCAAAAATGCAGTGTGGTTGATGGACTGAGAATTGCAATTTTGCCAACTTAGACGTTTCCCATTAAGCAGAGTTCAAATTTAGAGCACAAATCCCTATGGTGACCTCGCGGCTCTAGTTGCAATGATCATTTGGACTAATTTGATAATATCAGCTGGCTGCAGTCAGCTTTGGAATTGTTGTCAGCCACTGTGCTCTCCGGAATCCAACCTTCGGTCTAAAGCCTTATTGGTGAATCACTGTGTTACTCTGTTTAGGGTACTCTGAATCCGCGTTTCTCATTGGCTACAGCGGGTAAAGCACAAACCAATCACACCTATGCGTTTTAATTAAAATTATTGATTTTCGTTCCTAGTAAAATGGAGTTTTCGGGAATAAATCTGGCGGTTTTCACAATTAGGCTATTGATATGAGAGCGCCAAATTTACGTCTTTATTTCTTTCTTTCTTCCTTAACACATCTATAGACTTATTTTTAAACCTACCCATGTTGTTTAGAAGACACTTGACTGTCAAAATGTGGTGGTATATTTTTCAGAGTACGCCAAATTCATGACGTTCTGTTGTGCAAAATGGAGTTAACCACGCACACAACTTAACCGTTTTTGTAACTAGTATTATCAGGAAATGTGCAAACACGTACACCCACGCAACAGATTTGTGCTCCGCTGAATACGTAATGTGATATTTTGAAATCAATTTTTAGAGTTATTTTGAACTTTGCCAAGTTAGAGCAAGGCGTTCGTGTGGGTGCGTTTTGTGAAAACACGCCTGCAATTTTCCGTGTGTGTACTGTTTACGAAACTGACAAGCATCTTCTCATGCAGAGCACGCAAAATGAGGTCACTTGACTCCTCACACGCCTGTACTATTGTCGAAACCGACCAACGAATGGCGTGGATGCGTAACCAGGCACCGACACATCTGATTGGCTGTCGTTCCGCGAGTGCTGGTTGGTCAGCCGGGCGTTGCCTGAGCCAAACCCTTTTCTAGGCGTAAGCACATGTCTATAAAAGTGTTTGGGGTGGGGGACAGTTACTAGAAGTGTAACATAAGCCGAACAGATGGACAGTGTTGATGGTTCCAGTGTCTGCTACGACTCGAGCACCATTTCGCTCGACATTTTCCGTCGACTAACCACCTACATTCAGGCACAGCAGTCTCAACGAACTCAATCAGTGGTTGATCACCTGACTTCAACGGCGTTGGCGCTGAAACAGCGCAGCGATGTCTCCGCGTTACCGGAGGGTGGTGAAAATTCGCTGGCGGAGAACGACTTCCCCACCGAGAACCTGCCCAAACCTCCCTACTCCTACATCGCCCTCATTGCTATGGCAATCAAAAGCACACCGGAAAAGAAAATTACACTTAATGGTGAGATAAGCCAATTATTTTATCGCATTTCCCGTGTGATTTCGCATTGATGTAATCCTAAAATACTGGAACTTGGGTCATGCATCAAGATTATGGGGTGTGGGGTGACGCGTATCTCGTTTGATGCGTGCTTTCTTGAAGCACTGGCATCTGAGTAGTGGGTGAATAACTTATTTTAAGAGGCCGCTTTTGTGTTGACAGGGTAAGTGGTTTCACATCATTTGAGAGCTCAAATTAGTACAAAGGATCTTTGCAACTAGAGCCGCGAGGTCACCATAGGGATTTGTGCTCTAAATTTCCACTCTCTTTAATGGGAAACGTCTAAGTTGACACAAATTGCATTTTTGAAGGTGGTGCCACTCAATTTCCAGACTTTTTTTGAAAAAAACAAAATCCAGAATGAACTACTCTGGTGAAATTGGTTGCGGCCTTCTCCAATGCAATCAGTGGTGACCGCGTATTCACGGTTCCAAAACTGAATAGCACAGACTTCCACCAATAAGACTGTAGATCGAAGGTTGAATTCCGGAGCGCACAGTGGCTAACAAAAATTCCACAGCTGATTCCAGCATCCAGCCAGATGCCATCCCCGAACTGTGATGGAAGAGGGTGTTGAGGTTGGAAGATGTGTACTCATTCCTACTTAGAACTACTTCCCAGTCGACATTTTTTGCAAATCACTTCATCAAACGCAATTCGATGATCCGTGTGGAACACACACATTCATGGTGGTTCGATGTTCGTGTTGTGGACTACTAGATATTTCGTCTCATTCGCCATCAAGACACATAATCTGCGGAGGTGGGGCATTTAGTTGTTAACATTGACTTCTGTTAGGGTAAATCAGTTGCCCTTCCG